AGGATTATCGCGCTAATGGTATGGCGCCGCCTAAGGAAAGGTGCACCAACTGCGGCAAGGAGCCAACGAACGGCGCCGCTCTGAAGAAGTGTATGCGCTGCTTGAATGTCAAGTATTGCAGTGCCGATTGCCAGAAGAAGGATTGGCGAAAGCATCGTGGCGAGTGCAAGGAAAGCGAGGCGTATCAAAAGTAAACTCGGCATAGTTGCGATTGAGCAAGACTCAGGGATTCTTTTGCCAAATTCTCGCTGGCGTTCAGTCAATTCTCTCCCCTTCCGGTGCTATATCCTACTGTGAACATTTACGTCGGCGACAGCTCAGGATGAAATTTCCAATCTTCATGTATGAAGTTATCCCTGAGGGATCTTGGGCTTGAGGTAGGTCGAGTATGCTTCCGCGAGCATTGCTGACATTTCCAGTCACCATGTAATAATAAGGCGGCCTCGCGTGCTTACTGGTGTCAATTTAAACAGAAACTTTCACAAAAGGGACGATCGTATGATGATTTTGCAACAAGGCTTCCGTGGATCAATCGCGGGAGGCTCATGCAGGCTATGTCGAGCAAACAATGGCGTCGCGTATTCTGACTTTCTACACTTCCAAATCTGGACCGGGCATCTTTCAGCTTCTTTCCCCTCTTTTCCCAGCTGAGAAGCCGTCTTTGAACAGGAGGACATCGTGCAAAACACATCTCGCAGACGACAACGTTACCCTCCGCGCTCGTCTCGAAAGCGTTTAGTTGAGAAAACTTCTGCTTTGTTCAGTCATGTGGCTTGTCAATACGAAGACCCTCGCCCTCGAGAGCTTCGCGGAGCCCTCCGAAATCGACTATGCCATACTCTCGCACACTTGGGAGAGCGGCGAGGTCTCTTTTCAGGAGATGTCCTCCACCGCTGTGGCGTCAACGACGAAAAGCAAGGCAGGCTTTGACAAGGTCGCAAAGACCTGTGAGATTGCACAAGAGAAGGGCCTGGGATACGCGTGGATCGACACCTGTTGGATCGACAAGTCCAGCAGCGCCGAGCTCAGCGAAGCCATTAACTCCATGTTTCGATGGTACCAGGAGGCGAAGGTCTGCTTGGTATTTCTCTCGGATCTCCGCCCGGAAGTTGGCAGTACTGGGCCTGGGATCCATAAGATATCCGATCTGTCTAGGTGCAAGTGGTTCACTCGCGGCTGGACGCTGCAAGAGCTCATCGCGCCGGCCGCTGTGGAGTTTTACGATGCTGGGTGGAAGTTGAGGTTCTCCAAAGACGTATGGTCGGGGCGTCTATCGACGATAACCAACATCGATATCGATATCTTGACATTCGAAAAGGAACTATCGGCTGTTCCCGTTGCCGTCAAAATGTCATGGGCAGCGCATCGCCGAACGACCCGTGTCGAGGATCGGGCCTACTCCCTCCTCGGGCTCTTCGACATCCACATCCCCATGATCTACGGCGAGGGCAGAAAAGCCTTTCAGCGACTCCAGGAAGAGATTGCCAAGGAGACAGATGACTTGTCGCTGTTCGCCTGGATAGCAGTTGGTGAGAATCAGCGGTATAGAGGCATCTTTGCCCAAGAACTAGCGGAGTTCACATCCTGCGGCAATTACATGCGATGCAATCGACTCACATCAGACCGGAATGAATTCTCCATCACCAACAAAGGCGTCCGATTTACCTACGTCTTAGGCGTGAACACGGACGCAAGCGCCACTTGGCTGCTCCCTTTTTTGATGCAAGGGAATTGCCAAAAGTGCCACTATCAGCATAGCATTTACATCGGCCTAGTTTTCACCGCCGAGGGCTGGGTCCGCGCGACGCCTGGGCGCTGCCGGTATGAGAGCGATGGGCCGTCATTTCCCAGTTTTATCGACGTGTGCGTCAGGAAGACGGTCACGGCCTCAGAGAGCCGCAGACTCGAGCAGCGGCCGGGCCACTTCTTCAAGCCGGACTGGGCTCCAGGAGACTGCCTCAGCAGATGTGGCAAGCTTCTCGCGGCCGAGCCCAGCTTCCTCTGGAACCCCGCCTATCGGGGATTCGTGGGGGAGGCACAGGCTGAAGATTTTATGGGCATCATCAAGTTGTCCTTGAGCGCCCTGCCTTCGAATATCATCATCTGTCTAGTTCTGTTCAAGGTCAAAGATCGACCGCCTGAGGTTCAGCTCTTCCTGGTCCCAGACTGGCCATGGGAGCTGAAGGAGGGCATAGTCTATCCTGAGGGTACCTCTTCGTCGGAAACAGAAATGCGGTTGTACAAGCGTTCCCTGCTACCTTATTCCCCAAGTAACTTGTCGTCTGCCCGGGCTACCTGCTGTCATGGCCAATTCTCTTTTGATGTAACAGTCACAGCAGAGGTGGATGAGAAGATGCGCCTTATACTATCTTGCAAATATCTCAAGGAGCCTCAAAGGGTACAGGAGCAAAAAGGGCTTCCATTCCTTCCTATGGCAGACCTGATACGATATATGTCAGACAAATGACGCTACCAAATATCGTTCCAGCCCTCGTCATCCTAAAGGACGAGCAACGACGTTTCATGCCCCCGTACTCCCATCACGACGTCATACCGAGCGTCCGGATACTACACCGCGAGACCCGGCATTTGGAAAAGGATCCGTACTCGGTACCAGAAAATCACACTGCCCGTCGGTACATGCATCAAGCAGCACAGGACCACCTCCAAAGCCTCCAAAGCCCAGCAACTATGTCATCTTTTCCTTCGGAACCAGACTGAATTCACTCGGACGAGGAGCCTAGATGACGGGAAGAGACTTCAACGATCCCCAGAAAAGAAACCCACGCGATGTCCACAACTTTGCAGATCTCCACAGTCTCCACGGCCAGCCCTGTTGTCATTACCAAAGAGCCCGCAACTCCCGATACTTCGAGAAGGTCAGACTTCAGCCCGATATCCAGCCCCCCAAAAAGGCCGACTATGCTCATTCGTCACTGTTGAAACAACGACAAGCCATCCCCAAGACCAATCAACATGATCTAAGCAAGGGCGGGGGAAGACACTTTCAACTCAGACACTGGAAATGGCGCCAGGCCAAGAACTGGAAGAGGATGAATGGGCATCATCATCGTCAAGGACATCCCCTCCAGGCTTCGACGCATCGCCCATTTGTTTCTGATCCACCCAGTCCCCTCAAAACACACCGCACGCTGTCCGAAGACACCATGAACGCTAGAAGTCAAGAACCAACCAACACAACTGAGACGACTTGAGATCTAACATACTAGAGCTTAAGAAAGTTATTCTCTTTTTCGCTTCCCATGTATCAACCTCGGGCGGCTAGTCTCAGTGATGTGACTGGTTTTAGTTACCAAGGATCAGCGTTGGTTGACCAGTCACTCGACCAAGAAGCTACTGTTCAAAACCACACAAACGGACCGACTACACACACCAAGAAAGAACAGGACAGAGGAAAAAATCCCGAAAAATGATCGTCAGGGGCCTAAACTTGACACACACCAATCCCCAATTTTCTTTCCCCAGCGCACCCACACTTAAACCACAGGAAAAGGCTGAACGCTGAATAGCCAGTGGTGCAAGCACAAGCCAACGTCCAGTCCCAATCTTTGTCTTTATTCCCTCCCCTCCCCCCAGTCTTCAATGCCCACGTGCTGGAGGCCTTTCGGTCAAGTATCCTGCCCCCCATCGGGCAGCCCGCAAACAAGGTATGGTCTTGTTGCCCAAGCTTAAAAAATGTTGGCAGAAGGCTGGGGATGGGGCAGGCTCGAAAGTTGGCAGTCGGTTACACTACCTTACTCCAGTCTGCAAGGGAGGCGATGAAGTAGTGAGTAGGTAGGGAGAAAGGCTGCAGTCCCGCTGTAGAATGTCAGGTGACCTCGTCGGGCATTACTCTCTTCAAGCCGGGTCACACACAAACGGCGCGTGCTCGGAGCTCGGAGGCGGCGCTCGGAAGAACGCCCAGTGTACTAGGCGCGGCAGTCGGATCTTGTCCTCCTGCAAGTTCACGGCCGTTCGTTCAAGTCAATGCGATTAGAAGGGACAAAATGATGAAATATGAGGTCATTGGATATTTTGCTCGATTACCACGCCACATTTCCATAACCCAAGTTAACTTTGAACACGCTGTATCAACCCAAAAAAAAAAGAATTCCCGCACCAGCCTCCTATCTCTTGCTTCCATCGGGTTGAGCCCAAGTTGGCCAAATCTCTCTCCTCTTCTCACACGGACACTCCAGGGGAGGGCCAAAGCTGGTTTATCCAAGATGATATTGAAGTTCTCTGCCCGTGTAATAATCCCTCCCAAGGCGTAGGCCCCTTCGCGTTCATAATATGAAGGTGCCATGGTTACTATACACAAGATGGGAAGGGGGGTTACGCCACCATACTCCGTTATGACTCTTCCCATAGAATGTCGTTCAACAAGGTTTTTATTTCCAACTGCCGCCGTGTTTTTGTGATGAACATGATCTCGGCCTGCCAACCCCTTCCCATCGGTAGAATCGAAAGTACCCAGTGTAGGTGGTGAGTGGTTGGCGGACCGGGTGACGTGTTTTTAAAAAAAGGTATTGGTGTTGTGGTAGTGGCGGGTCGTAATTTGAGGGTAGATAAGGGGGTACAAGGGGAAATGTCTCGAGACGAAAGCCCCCCGTTTGGTTGGTAGGTTGGTTGTGATATCCAAAAGTTGTCTAAATTGTAGATAGTTGCAAAAGGAGTGGACGGCGTAGGGAGGGAGGTCGTGGCCGAAAGGGCGGATTTTTTGTGTATGGTTGTGTCCAAAAACAAGAGAGATTTGATAGATGTATCCAACGCAAAAACCCATATCGTAATTTCCCAAGATATGTTTACCCTACACCATGATACAAATGAAAAATCCGACGACACTGGTCGTTTTTTTTCGGAAGAGGCCCCCGAGTAAGCCAGCGTCGGGAGATTGAACACCACAAAACGCCTTTGATGCCAGAATTGTGTAGAAAGAAGTAATTCAAAGAAGCCCCAGGACAGGCTTTCAGGTCGTTTGTCGTCATGATGTGAGGTGCTCATGCGTTGGTAACCTTGATGAGGGGAATTAGCTTTTTCAGGGTTCATCTCATTTCAAAACATCTCATCTCTCATAAACTTACTCGGAGAATCTTCCGCGAGTAATCTTGGTTGTCGGCAATGCTGCCATCGCTCATGCGTCGGTGCGCCAGGGTGGGATCCATGCGGGAGTCGGACATGGAGACGCCGCTGCTGCTGGGCGGCTTGGAGCCGCCGATGAAGGCGTTGACGGCGGCGTTGCGGCGGTGCTCCTCCTCGATCTCGGCGTTGCGCTTCCTGCGGACGAAGAAGAAGGCGGCGCCGACGATGGCGGCGATGGCCACGACACCGACGACGACGCCCGCGGCGATGCCGGCGACGTTGGTGCTCTTCTTGGGCGTCTCGGTTGCCGCGGCCGATGTTGTCGCGACGGGGGTCTCGATGACGGTTGAGACGACGCCGTTGGCGGCGGTTGTTGTCGTGGCCTTGGTGGTGGCTGCGGCCGTTGTGGTGGTTGCAACGTCCTCATCGGGAACGACGAGCTTGAGGCCCGTGTTGAAGACGGAGTAGTACATCATATCTTCGACACCACCGCCTTTCACAAAGGTTAGCCATTACTTCAAAAGTTGAACCATGAGACGTAGGGTAACGTACAAGCCTCTTCCGGGTAGAATGGGCAAGGGAAGTTGCACTTCTTGTCGTCGACAACGTCAACCTTTGGCGGGTACGAGTCACCGCAGTAGCAGTCCTCGCCGTTGATAGCGGCGACATTCTTCTTCTGCTTAGTTTGGCATTCCAACGTGCATGATCCGGTACTGATATTCTCTACGGGGTACTTCTGCCATGTCGTTGATGACGCGTTGTAGCATCCGTGGTTGGTGATGGCGCCTGGCCTCGCGGCCTCACTGGGCTTCTGATATCCTGACGTAGTGGTGGCAGTCTGGGCTGAGCTAAAGCCAAAGGCCACGGCGGCCAGAACAGCTACTGAGTACTTCATAATGGTTGTCGAGGGGGGTATAACGAAAGCGTTGAAACGAAAAGTAGGTTGAATGAAGGTGCGGTCTCGAATCGATTCCAGGACTCGAAGACGATGACAGGTCTTGCGGGTTCGAGGGTTGTCGACGTGTCTCAGGGGTTATTGCCTCGGTGCGGTTCAGTCGGCCACCGAATGCTTTCCCAGATATCGAAATCCAAGCAGCGTCCTCTCGATTTTCCACCCAGTTCGATTAATAAGTTGTATCCGTCGAGAGAATCGTAATTCGATCGATCGGAGGAGGGTTAGATGATGATGATGTTGAGGGTTGAGCGAGTGTATCGGTCGAAGCAGGACCGTGTTCGGGTCGTGCGGCAAACAAGGCGAGTCCTAAAGAATGTGTGGGCACAAACAGGCCTCCTAATGGTTTCTTCGCGAGTTGGTTTGGGCTTTTACGAAGCCTCTTGTTCTTTCTCCTTCACGTTGTTCTCTTTTGCTGGCAAAAAAAAGAGGATATCACCGAGTAAATGACATTGAAAGGGGAGGGTAAATGAACAAGGGAAAAAGAGGAGGAGACCTTGGCGAGATTGGGAAGATGAGTAACAAGGCAAGGCAAGGCAATGGAAGAGGGAGAGACTTGGGGGGGAGGGGAGGAAATGGAACGAGTGACAGCGGGTGGAATTGGAGGGAACGGCTTGTTTTGTTGAAAAGAGGGAAACGAGCACGGAGTGGGTTGAGATGAGGAGGAAAAGCGAAATTAGGAGTCCACTTTGCGGCATCCCGGGGGGTTCGGGAGGGTGTAGACCCAGAATACCACAAGTACCAACTCCTCTTTTCTCTCTCTGGTCTCTGCCTCCGTCCTCTCAGGCTCTGTCTCCCGTGCCCACAGAGCCTTGAGGAGGGTGGTAGTGTAGGCATGTGCAGTGTGTAGTGTACATACGAGTACTGAATAGTGAAAACTAGGGCAAGTCTAGGCAAAGGTAGGGATGGCTTCCCGTTCTGCCATCTGGTGTGTGCACAACTTTTCCAGCTCGAAAGGGCACACACGCGTAACTTTCGACAGTGGGACACCCTCCTCGACTCTAGGACATGCCCTGCAGCAGTGTTCGGTAACAGCCAAGGGGTCCCCTGGCCACACGTCCGTGGCTTTCACAGCGGCACAGAGGCAGCGAGAGAGCAGAGACGGGGGTGAAGTTGTGAACAGACTGGGATGGAAGAAAGGGAAAACGGGGGGAAGAGAATCCACGGCTCCAGGCAGTTTTGGGAATAGTCGAGCGAGAACTTGACGCGGCCGTTATCCAATGGCTTCATGCCGCGCCTGGCTTTGGCTCCATCCGAACAGATTCAATTGGGTACAGGTCTTTCGTGCTGTTGTCCAACGTTGGCGTCGATTGGATACATCCGCAGTAGTGCGACAGGGGTGAGCCATGTTTGGGTCTTCCCGAGCAAGAATTCAGGAACAAGAATTACCGTCAGGGGCGCAGTTGACTGTGCAGATCATGGGCTGTAACGGGGGTTGGCGGTACTGAGTACGGTTTGAAGAGACTGAAGTTTGTTAGATGAAGTGGTGGGAGGCCTCAGCTTGTCATAACATGAACTCAACTTGACGGACTGTTCAAGGTACACGCTATCGCGAGCCGTCGAGTGATCAGATCCACTTTCCAATTTAATCCTCCACATATGCGACACACCACCACGAGCTCTTGGTGTGCGATGCCTCCTGCGAAAATATCGCGCGGGCCTTCATAAATCTGATGTTGTGCACGGGGTGTATGGAAAAGGGGGAGGCGGTGAATAACTTGACACACTCGCTACATCATTGATGATACCACGGCGAGTTATGAACAGCGGCATTGAGTTGTGAAGACATAACTGTGTTGTGGAAAGTCTGAGCGCTGTTCGTTGTTCTAGGATGCGATCTTCTCATGGGCATCGCATCCCGATCGGCCGCTTCCAACCGTGGAATCTTCTCTGCTCGTGTACGATCTGCCGAATGTGCCGTTCGCTTCGCTTTGAAGTCAGAATAGGAGGTGGTTCGTGGTTGCGAAAGCGAAGACGCGAAGAAAAACTCCTCTGCTGACGGTTATCTGCCGTACAACCACACAACACGGCAGCTCCCTCCCATACTAGATGAAGAACAGCTTCTTTCTCTCTTCCGGCGTGTGTTCTTTCATCGCCTGCTGCCGCCAGGGCCGTGTGTTTGACGCTGATTGTCAGGGTGTCACGCGCATGGGCGTCCATACGGTCATCCCAGACAGAACCACCCAAGAATGCTTTTGGATGAGACTAGGATAAAAAAGAGTGTGTGTGTGCCATACAGAGCACCATACGGAGTACAGAACAGTAATACCACAGTGAGCGTACAGAAACTCAGGTACCCGTCCGTACATGATTTGTGCGGCGGGACGCCTGAGCACCGGCGTCCGTTGCATTTTTTTTTGCCGCTGGTGCCACGGATTACCTGACAGGATGAACCTTCGCTCGGTCGTGCCTATTTCCCCCTCCCTCAGAGTCCCTCTTTCTTTTCTTCTTCGTCTCATCTTCTTTGTTGCAGGCGCAGCTTGCGGGCCAGCTGGACGTATGTACCCGTCCGCGTGAGAGGGGAGGATTCGGCCCTGCTCTTTTGATTTCTGTTAATTCCTTCCCGTTTGACTGTTCGGACGGACGTTTTGGCTTGGATCTCTGAGATGCAGTAGTGGCCAGCACATGCCCAGCAGTTGACTGCTGACAATGACGATGACGGGTCTGCCGACGACTTCATAGCGTAACAGAGCGATATTGGTACTGTAATAGCTGGCCGCTGCTATGTCCCTGATGATCATCAACGGGCAGCAAATCTTCATGCCGTCGTCGCCCCAAACGACGGCACAGGGGGGGAAACGAAACTCGTCGGAGGAGAGGGGCCAGCAGTCCAAAAGTCGCAGGGTGAAACTTGAAACGAGAAACCAACGGTGGCTGACCGTCCCAGACGAGGCCTACCGCCTATTAGTTACAACTTATAGTATTAGCTAATATTCCGGTTGGTTGTACCGTTTGGGTTGGGTTGCTGCCGTCAGCTATCGTATCCGTACGAAGGATCATATCACCCTATCTTGTCCGACACCAAGGCTTGAACACCTGGGGACGGGAGCCACTGAAATGGAGAACCCGGGCGGGTAATGCAATGGGTACGGCAGATTGGATGTTGCCAGAATTAGGAGTATTATCTGGGGGAACAGGAAACGTGCAGCTTCGTGCGTGAGAAATCGGCCGGTCTGGCCGGCCATCTGGTGATGGTTGAATGAGAGATTAGTCGAGATGCCGCGAACCGTTGGATTTCAGTCTCGCCAGTGCCCCGTACAAAGTAGTGTGCATACCTAAGTACGGATACTTACACAATTAGTCCGTACACAACGGTCATTCACTATTCGACGGGCCAACGTTGTGCATCGATGCATTATTCCAGCGCCTTTAGCGAACGGCTCATGCAATTGCCAGCGAGGCCTCGAGGCCTGCTGCTTCGCTCGCCGTGCACGGCAGAAGGACAGCGGCGAGATTGGTTTGGATAACGCCACCCCTTTCTCCCTCTTCTACCCCAGAAGTGTGGATGGGATACGAGGACGGGCGGCCGAGCCAAGAGGCTTGGGAGAAGGCTTACAGAGAGGCTTGCAGCATGCCGGTTCGTCTTCTGGACTGTCTTGTGTCTGTCAACTTTCACAAGCAGGACTTCACAGTGACAGTGTGCAGGTGGCTTGCATCAGACGCAAGATTGAGGATGAAGGTCCCGGTCATGTCTTTCCGCCAAAGCCAGCACATAACCTCGTGAAAGGAGCTTTCCTGTCCGCCTCTTGCTCCGTGCAGTACGAAAAGGAACAGTTTGATGATGGCTATTTCGAGATCAGAAGACCAGTCACCACTCTCCACGAGGGCAGCGTGGATGGAATGGGGAAAACGTAGACAGCAAATGAGGACTCATCATCCAACGCACCAGGGAAACGTGTTCGACCCTCTGCCTCCCATGTTCCCAGGGGACCATCACCTCGAAGAGCCAGAAGCACCGCCTGAGCATCAACTGGAGAATTCTATCTCTTCAGTGGCTTTGGGCGGCTGTTGGACAGCGGTTGTGATCAATTGAACGCGCATATCCTGGGCCGCTGCGGAACAGAGGGGGTGGGTTTCTCGAGGAAGAAACGCTTAATCGAGAAGCTTGTCCTTAGTCGTCCGCAGACTCGGGCATCCGATGCAGGTACCTGCTTGGGGTGACCCGGGATGCGTTACTTTTTCCTTGCTTGATATTGATGTTGCTTCTTAGCACAGCCTCAACAATCAATTAAGAAGGAAAACCCACGTCATGTTACTGTGGGCTGCTCGCTGGCTTCCTGCAGGCGAGATGTCTGATCATTCATTGATATCGATAGAACAATTTTTATGTACGTGTATTTCGAAATAAGCATGGAAGTCCCTCCGATACTCAGTACACACAAATACTGCGTGACATGGACGGCCTAACTAGGTTAAGCTGGGATCTATTTCTATATGCAAAAATCCAAACCAACGCACGCTATTGAAGCCCAGGCAGGTGCCGAGATGCTAGCGAAGAAAGAGGAGATGATGTTGAATGCCTGACCATGTGCTCTTTTTTTCGAACCCGCGACTTTGGATAGAATCAGCATTCTCGGTTTTCGCGATGTGCAGCTGGGATTGATATGGCGTCTCTTGATGCGGGATTTCATCGAGACTGCATTCTTCCAGAACATGAGGCGTTCTACACGTCGGTCTCGCGTCCAATCGCTACTTCGCTCTGATGGACGATGTTGCTGTTCTGTGAACTATTTCTGGCAGAGCGGTTCAGGGAGGGAAAAGGGTGGCCCTTTCCGGCCTGCAACTCCTCTTTTCAGGTAAAGAGGCCGAGGGGTTCTAATCCTCGGAGCATGTGTCAGCAGATGGTTCCTCTTCTCAAATTCTCCCTCACCAAGGCTCAGCGAGTTGCGTCTTCAGTGTCCGACTGTCGTAAGTTGATTGGGGGCCGTTTCCAAGTGACAAAAAGCTCCCTTTAACCATAGCACATGTAAGCAGACCCCCTGAAGAAGCAACGATTCTCCCTGTGCCGTGACTTCGCCCTACATGCCCGTCTCTTCAAACTTCACAGACCGCAATCTCCTCCAGCTCAAACCTTCAGACGCAGAGAAGCAACCCCTCGGCAGGATAATCCGATGCGACGGGCAGCAGGCGCTGGATTTCGTAGAGTTCACACTCGCAAGTTGCAAAACCATCACATCTCATCCACCCGAGCGGCATCCTTCAGGAAACCAATACCGCCGCCAACCTCCGGCACTGCCGCAAAGAACCTTCGCAGCGTTCCAACGGGTCCCATCTCTCTTGATTAATACGAAGAAAAACCACTCTCATCATTGATGACCTGTCTCTCATGCCGAGAACCCCCTTTTGGTGATGAGAGCCCGACGTGCCAATTCTCAAGCCAAATCCAGGGTCCCAGACCCCAGAGATAATACATCTCTAAACTCCGTTGATCGGCTCCCCGAGCTTCCTATCTCGAGTCGGTTCCCGGCTCCCGGTTTACGTTACTCCTTGCTTTGCGGGTTCCCGAACCAGGACTTGCTAAAAGCACCGCCGCCCGAGGGCTCCATGAGTCCATTCTTGACTGTGACGCCAACGGACTAGCCATCAACCACTCGATCTCTCTCGCTGCGCGGCTGCGCTGTTTATTGCAAGATGCCGACAACTCTCCCCCCGTCTCCCAAGACGCGTTGGTGCAGGGGCAATCCCCCTCTCCCCTCCAGCAGCGTTCAGTTCTATCCACAGTTTTTTGTGCCGTTCCTCGCTGTGGATGCTCTGGAGAAGGGGTCGAGTCATTGTCCGCGGACACCTTCCCAGTTCCCTCTGCAAGCCCAGCTGCCCAGAGTTCCAAGGAGAGCGAGACATATTAGCCCGAGAATCACCAAGGCAAAGCGCCAGCCAGTGACTGATGACACCGGTCGTCCCATCTTCACAGTAGTCCAAACCGCCATCCAGCTCGGCCAGTTTCGATTGTGGAAACTTGTCAAATCCGCCCCCAATCCTTCCAGTGCGTGCGGCCGGATGGGGATCCCGATCACGGCCATCTCGGGTGGGAGCCCATCGAGATAATCAGAAAAGCCGAAGCACAGGAGCAAGGCCCAGTTCTTCACTTTTCTTCTGCGGCGTCGCCTGTTCAACGAGGTGCCTTGTAGTCGCCACGTACAGCTTTAGACGGGCCACGGCAGCGATGGCTTCGACCCTTCAACATCGCTTCATCCTCCGTCGCGAAATGAAAGATGGGCTTTGGCTTGGCTTAGGCTTCATCTAGGTAGGTATTGAATGTCCGTTGGCCTTGCCGCAGATCCCGCCAGTTCCCTCGCCCTAATTATCACTAGCCAAGTGCCTCATCCAACGCCCCCAGAAACGCCCGAGGCCCGCCCTTCTCGACATGCAAACAGATTGAACGGCGTCCTTTTTCGTCTGAAAATCAGAACATCCTACCGTCGTGCCGTCGTATTACATCAGCAATCTCAATTTGAGCAACGTTGGGGTCTGGGGCATGGGATGACTTTTAACACACCAACTTCTCAGACATTTCCCCTATCACTTTGTGAACATCCCGCGTCCATGATGTGAGACTGGGTCTCACATGTTTAATTGCAGAGCTCCGACACGGTTCTTCCACCATGTTTACATATTCCAAACCCAACAGCCCAGTGTTCGAGGGAAATAATCTTGGAATTCAGGCACGTCTTCCAGGAAATGAGCGCCACCTTGCTTAGGCAAGACATGGCTCCTGATCCTCAGCTTGGTGAAATTCCATATCATCACGAGCAAAAGTCCCATAAACAGGATTGATTCATGGCGCTTCCTTTACGAAAATAGAGCATCGAAGTATGTCGGGCTTGAACCTTTCTTCACTTTGGGAATCATGGCGGCCGTATACCAAGGAGACAGAACTTTGCCGCCGTGCATACATCTTGTTCCGGCTGCCTTGCATTCCCATATTCCCGGTAAAGGGCTGATTTAGGAGAGATCCAGGAACCAAAATGCCACAGCCCTAACACCGAACGTTCGATCTAGCATAGGAAAGTCGAACCACGGCAAGGCACATGGAAACCGTTCAGGATCATGGTGCCCCATCCCCGAGGCACTACACTAATATGAACCAAGTCTCCACGAAGTTACAAACTTCCCCCTGCAGCCCGCAGCGAAAAGGCCGGAAGACCGGCTTACGCCTGCCGTGGACGACAGTACAAGAGTACAGTGTCGTTTCCGTATCTTTACGTGAGCTGAAATGTCGCCGACTACGACAAGATCGAGAACTTCGCTGCTGAATTGTGGAGCAAAATGCCAGTTCTAGATCCGGTCGCCGATGGCCCGCCCGTCCGCGTCCGCACCCCCCCTTTCCATGTGCCGAACGTCAACATTGGAACAAAGAACACCACTGTTTAACTCCATCGTTTTGTATTACTAAAGGATTGCCGCAGTATATATAGACGCTACCCTACCCTCGAATTCCGCACTATTTAACCTTAACCCTTTTTATAAGTTACCTATCTTTTCCTCTATTCTACCCTCTCCCTTATTAAGGGATTATTAAAATCGTAGTTTTAATAACTTATTAATAAGCTAATACTACTATTTAAAAATAAGTAACCTACTCTTATATATAGGCACCGGGAGTCTTATTATTATAAAAATAATAATAAATATACTAAAATATTTAAAAAAGCTTTTTAATAGATTTTTAATACTATTTAAAATAATTATTTTCGAGTTATAAAAAGAAGCCGAGGTACTATATTAATATAACCTTATCTATCTTATTAATATTAATAATAGTCTTTTTAATATAAGATATATTATTAATATTTTATAATTACGTTATTACCCTTTATAAATCGTACTTAATATTAATAAGGATTTTAGTATTATTTCTTAGTTTGTTTCTTAATTTTTTTTATTAAAGCCGTTATTATAAAGTTAGTTTAGTTATTAATATCTTAATAAGTATTTTAACTTAACTTAGAGGCTCTTATAGCCCTTAAAAAGAGGTTTTTAAAGGACTTATAATTAAACTTTTTACTTATTATAAGCGAAGCTATTATAGTTAAAGCTATAGTATTATAAACCTTAATAATAAGTAGTTAGTAATATAGTTATCTTTTTTTTATAACGAGCTTAAAAAAGTATTTTAATTTAAGTACTAAGTAAATACTATATTATTTTATTAAAACTATATTTTTATACTTATAACTTAGAAAGAATTAACTTTCTTCGATAATAAGGTACTTAGGAACAAAGAACACTTGAACATCCTAACGAAACTCCTGTATTGGTTTCTTCGATAGTCTCTCTTCGGCCGTTACAGAAGTCATCTTCGCATCCGCTCTTGCGCGTGCAGATGTCTTTTTTTCCCGCATCATCGAGATGCAGCCGCTGTAGGTGTCAAGACGAGACGGGGCTTAATATTGATGTTTACAAACCATTCCCCCACAGTAAACCGGGAACGCGTTCTCTCACGCTCGCTCAGCCTTTGAAAGTTCAAGGGGCCAAAAAAAAGTTCTAGACCTTCTCCCGCAAATATCTCAGGCACGCATGCTTCTTGCGTCATCCATAGAGAGCCGAGAGAGGATCACCAAGGCCTCGAACCGTCCCTGATCATCTCTGATCTTCCTTTTTTTGAGTTATTTTGCCACGAGCTGAAGAGGCCCTATCCGTTCCCAGTGGGGAGGTCGGCTACAGCTGTCAGATGTGCCATGTGTGACTTTTCAGTAAGTTTTGCGATGGGAGGGTGATTTGTGCTGCACATGCTCGCTGTGCCCAATGCCCCAAACCTAGGTACGCTCCTTACCATGCCTCATTGAACGGTCGGGTCCCCTTTCTCTTCCTAGCCTTACATCGGTGTACCTACAAAGCAAAATTTTCCACAAGCA